CATTTCCTCCAAATCAATGAAAATGTCCTCACATGCTACCCAACACAGAAAATAACCATGGTAAGCAATGAAATCAAGAGTGGGTTGGGGACAACAGGTCATTCTATTTACTTGGTGGAAGGAAAAACTACTTAGCTGGATTACCACTAACTGAATTACAAATCCACCATTTACAAGTTTACTAGCATTATGCAGGCAATTTTGTATTTTTCATAAACTCCACACATTTAAAGTTAAAAAACACACACACACACCATAAACTGTCCCAGCGGGATCTGCCCGAAGAGGGGCCGGGGCCGGGCATAGAAAACATCACGTGGGGCGAGAAAAAGTTAGGACCCGGTGGTACTGACAACGACCAGACATGGGCACCTCGCGGAGCTTTCATCCGTCCCCGCCCCTGGGCAGCGGCTCTGGGAGGGTGGCCGGCACCTCGGGGTCGGCGTGTGTGGAAATCAACAGCATCTGGCTCGTCTGCCCTTCGGCCGCCGGTTTGCCCGTTTGTGAGGTCACAGTGAGGCCATCTCCGGGCCGCGTTCAGTCTGGGTCAGACTTCATGGAAGGAAGAGGGAGGAGCTGTTTGTGGGCATTGGGTGTCCCGGGGACCCGGCCCGCGTTCTGCCGGACTGTGAGCCCCGGAGAAAAACGGGCGCCGGGAAATTCGCCTCCCGCTGCCTCCTCGGGTGCAGCTGGGCGGTGGCTGAGCATCCTCTCCTTTCTCTCTTTTGCAGTTTGTGTTTCTTATCTGGGAAGATTTTACCAGGACCTCAAAGACAGAGATGTCACCTTCTCACCGGCCTCTATCGAAAAAGAACTTGTAAACTTCTGCCGCGAAGCAAGAGGCAAAGAGAATCGGTTGGTGAGTAGCTGGCGACCCCTCCCCGCAGGCCCGGGCGGAGGCCCGAGTGAGTCCCGAGTGAGTCCCGGATGAACTCATGCCCGACTGACCTGCCTTCTCTGCGGTTGTCACATGTTTTGTCCGGTTACTGTTGACTAAGCACCTGCTCGGTGCTGGCACTGGGACTCTCCAGGGAGGAGAGTGACAGGCAAAGGGCGCAGGGTGGGTGTCAGGAGGAAAAGGGATGGTGGGGTGGAGAGGGGAAGGGTCATGGGTGGGCGAAGAGCATCCCAGGCCAAGGGAACAGCCAGTGGGAGTGCCCAGAGGCCAGAACGATCTTGGCATGAGCGAGGACAGAGGTACTATGTGCACAGGGTGGGCTGGGGCCCCATGGAGGCCAGGAGCCCCAGTGAGGCGTGTCTTTTGTAGCTTTCATTTCCTTGGCAGTCTGGTTCTGTCTGTCTGTCTGTTTAAAGGATTGAACCCTGGTGGCTCTTAGCCTCATGTGGTGGCTGCCAGCTCTGGGACTGAGCATGTCACGACTCGGGGCTCCCGCGGACTGTATCTGACCGCCAGCACAGGCGCGGCCTGGGGAAAGGAGGGCCCGGCAGAGAGAGGAGGTGCTCTGAGACGGCAGGGCATTCCCCTGAGGCCGTATCCTTTCTTGCTGCAGTGCTACTACATTGGGGCCACGGATGACGCCGCCACCAAGATCATCAACGAGGTGTCCAAGCCGCTGGCCCACCACATCCCCGTGGAGAAAATCTGCGAGAAACTCAAGAAGAAAGACAGCCAGATCTGCGAGCTGAAGTACGGTGAGTGGTCGGGCCTACACCACAGGCCTTCTGCGACTCGGTGCCAGCTTCGTGGGGTGATACACGAGAGCCCTCGTGTGTATGTGGCTGAACATGGCAGACGGTGCTAAGTGGGGGGTGCAGATCTGGCATCCTGATGGGTGGAGGTCAGAAGAGGTATCATTGGGGTGACTTTTCAGCAAACTTTGTAGGAGGTGGGACATTAGCCAAGGGAATGGAAGAACATTCCAGACAGAGGAAGTAGGCAGGGCAGAGACAGCAGTGTGGCATGACAGGTGGTGAGCTGGTCACAGGGCGCCTTGCAGGTTGGTGAAGAAAGATCTGGCTGTTAATCTGGGCAAAGTTGGGGGCATGGGTTTGAGGGCTGAGGAGGGGTGTGGTGGGGCCTTCCTTGGTTTAACGGGCTTTCCTGGCTGCAAGCGCTTTATAATTTTGAAAGGAAGTGCGTGTCCGGGCAGGTCAGGAGCTGGGGCTGCCATGGCATCTTCTATGCGTAGGTCTCTGCTGGGAAAGAAGGGTCAGGACCAGCAAGTGTTGTTTTCTTCTATGACGTTTCAATGTCACCAACACATTTCATTGTGGTCTGAGTGTCCAAAGTCCTGTGTTCACCCACGTGTGTCAAGGACGCCTGGACTTGGAGAGAGCCCCTGGGAAGTGCAGTTGGCGCAGGCCTCTCTCGGTCACAAGGAGTGGAGCGTGAGCTCCTGACTCGGGGCCTGACCAGGGCCTGTGCTGGGAAATGGGCTGGGGGATCTACCCGCTTTGTTGCCCTGAAACGGTCATTTTACATAACTTGACCTCTACCATGACTATTCAAGAGGCGCTTGGGCGAGGGGTAGCCACATTCCTCCTGAAGGACTAGGCTGTGACCTCCATCCCTGTCCCTGGTGACACTGCCAGCATGAGACCAGCCTTCCTGGTGAAGAGGCCAACCTCCCCCTCGGGGGCCTGGGACTGCACACCTGTGTGTGTCTGGAACTGTCTCCCCATGACCAGTAGGGCCACTTGTTTAAGGGGTGGTTTGGCTGTGCAGGGGATCCAGCCTGGGCCTGCCGGGGGTCTGTGGCCGCCCCGCCCAGCTGGTAACTCTCCTGCTCTCCTCCAGACAAGCAGATCGACCTGAGCACGGTGGACCTGAAAAAGCTGCGCGTTAAAGAGCTAAAGAAGATCTTGGACGACTGGGGGGAGACATGCAAAGGCTGTGCAGAAAAGTCCGACTACATCCGGAAGATCCATGAACTGATGCCCAAGTACGCCCCCAAGGCGGCCAGCTCACGGACTGATTTGTAGTCGGCCCATCCCTGCGGCCCTTGAGGGAAAGAAACAGTTCAGCTGTGTCTTCCCCAAACAGCGTTTTGTAATTTATTTTTAGACCAGCTCCTGACAAGTCAGGTGTGGAGCCTGAGCCTGGAGCTCTCTGGATGGTGCTGGCTCTCCAGCACCCCTGTCGGGGGTCACTTCCTTCTGTTGCTGGTTTTCTCTGGGACTTCAAAGTGTGTCTGGGATTTTTTTATTAAAGGAAGAAAACTTCTAGCTGTCCTTGGAGAATTGAACACTGAATTAGTGTCTCGCCCACATGAAGATCCCACTGACTTATGCTTTCTGGTTTACAGAATTTCCAGGTCCATTCACGTTGGTACCCCGACGGGCATCAGTGCTGGAGATCCCCGGGTGGGATGCGGGCTGGGCTGGCGGGCTGTGCGGGGAGGGGGGGAGGCCCAGGAGGAAGCTGGGCTTAATTCCCACAGTGACTATCTCACCCTCCTGCTGGGCTGGAGGCGGCCCAGCTTCTTGGGAGGCACAGGGGGTGGAGTCTGCCATACAAGGTAAGGGCTTACGTCCAGGCCGAGTGGTTTTCTGCGACGATGACGTCAGTCGCTGTTCAGCACGGTCACGTTTCTAAGATGCTCTTGACCCGGCTCCTCTCAGATCTGGCCATGTGCGCACTTGCTCATCGGAGCTGTGGTCTAGTGTCAGCAGCAGCCTTAGGCCTCGTGGGGCTTCTGCAAGACCAGGAGGGGGCGGTTTGTCAGAAGAGCCCGGGAGGCTGCCCTTCGTCTTTCCCTGAGAGAAGTCGCAGCTGAGGTCCTCGGGGGGCTTGTCCCCACATCCGGTTTTAGTTGCTTTCTGTGGGGTTGGTGCTCAGAAACCCAGGTTTGGGCAGGAGCTGTGACTCAATGGAAACATCTATTCTCGGACCCGCAGAGACCACCTGCCGGGAAGGACAAGCAGTTCTTGCCAAGGACTTGCTCAGCCCTCAGACCTCCTGTGTGCAATTCCTGAGTTCGGTTTGCCTACATAAGGGCCTCGGTACCGCCCACGAGGGCTTGGCAGCACCATGTCTGAGGACCACCAGAGGCTGAGCCACTTCTCAGGCCAAGACTTCCTTGATTGGGGGAGCCAGGGGGCTCTTAAGATCTGACAAGCAGTGTCCTGAGCCCATAAAAAGTGCCGGGAAAATCCACGGTTGGAGCCAGAAGTCTTGGAAGATGGATCTGTCTCAGCCCCCTAGGTCTGTGTTCCCAGGGCTTCCGTGTCCACCAGGCCACCGGACAGGGAAGACTGCCCGCCCGAGGGCTGACCCCATGGTTGTGCGGGAGCAGGTTTCAGCAGGGCGTGCAGTGCTACAGGTGTTCTTCTAAGGCCTTTCCCGTGCACCTGTTCTGGCTGCTCCGGAGCTGTTGTCCAGTGCGGGAGGAGAGTGCGGTGGGCAGCCACGTTCCTGTGGCTTCAGTGGGCAGGTTCTGCGATGGGTCCAGCACTTCTCCCTGGCTCCCCTCACTTCACCTCGGAGAGGAGGCCCTGCCCCTGGAAGAGGCGGGTGGCAATCAGGTTAACTAGTGGACGTGGCCTTCCCTGCGCCCTGGCAGCCGCCGTCTGGGGCCAAGGAGCCTATTCCCACCTTGGCCTAGACAAGTCTCGCCTCCACATGAGTAGCCACGCCTCTGGGTGGGTGGAATGAGGAGCTGGGGGCGCCGCAGGTGAGCGGAGTTGTGAGCGTGGGTCCTGGGCCGGGCCTAGGCAGCGGCGTGCTCCAATCCTCGGGGTGGTCAGCCCTGAACCCCAGTCGGGAGACGCGTGGTGGGGCAGGAGGGCTACTGCGTAAAGGGGCCGCGGGTCCCGGCGCGCACAGAGGGAGGGTCGGGAGCGGTTCGAGCCGCCCT